TAACTGAATGAATGTATGTCCTATATTCTGAACTGTATTGTGGCATCCTTAGCACCTACTGTTTACTGTTACTGTGACAGAATTCTCTGTCGGTTCCCTCGTTGGAACCACTACTGTTTACTGGCTGATGGCCATCATTACTGTTCGGTCTTTTAAGACCTACTGCTTACTGTACTGTTATGCTAATGGGTGTACCACATATGACTGTACTGACTGAACAACTGAAATACTGTTTAATTGAACTGTTTCCATACTGTAAGGACATTCATTCTTAACCTCTTTACGCATTATGTTATTCACTGGGCTTTAGCTCACTGCTCATATATATATGTAGGTGTTCAGGCACCAGACCGCGGCTAGGAGCGTCAGGGTTACTCCAGTTTTGTCAAGCCAGCCTATGTGCCTCACTGCGAGGTTCCGAGCCTATCGTGCTAAGGCTTAGGGGTGTTTTAGGATTTCCCCTTCTGTACTATCTTACTGCTTTGTAATAACCGAATGGATTGTATAGACTGAATGTCACTGTACTGTTATGTAAGGGATTGGGTCCCTAGTCTGAATGACTGTATATAGTGTGCATACTGCTCTGTACTGATTATGTTTATATATATGTGAAAAGTCTTTTTGCATACAGACTGTCACAGCTCATTGGACATTGTTTATTTACTGTTTTGGCTTCCGTCAGGCCCTGTACTCTGTTTTACTGTTCTACTGTTCTGCAGGCCTTCGGTAATCTCGGATTACTGGCCGGCTACGGTGCTAAACCCATAGGGCCGGGTTTGGGTCGTGACACTTTAACTTATGGAATTGAAGTAGACATAGAGAGGAATTTACCTAGACATGAAGCTTGAAGAACAAAGATGAAAGTGTTTAATTTTCTCTTTTAAATCTACAGATTTTCAGCAAGAAGATGAAGTTTTTGCACATATAGGATATATATATATATAGGAAGAAAGGGGTAGGTAGGATCAATGGCTAGGATTGAATGCTGAAGTATGTGGTAAAAAGGGGAGTGAGGTGGATATATCTTTCACCTCACGAAGAAATTACAGCCATGGTGGCTGATTTTACCACCATAAATTGTACTGCTCGGATAAAATGCAGTGCGCGGACATCCGAGCTGTCCAAAAATCGGTTCAAGAAAAATTTCATTTAATCATTGTTGACTAATTTTGACATTCTGAGTTGATGGTGTGATCCGTTTCGCCTAAAGAAAAAAAATATACATCTTTACGAGTTTCATTTTTGACACACTCGAAGAGGATTACCAATTATTGTTCTGTTATAGGTCCACCCCGGATGGCGAAGTATAGATAATATTTATTAACATGACATGATGAACTTATTAAATATGAGATGTGACCCCCATTCATTGACGGTGTCAAACAAAAGGTGAAAAGTTGGGTCGGGTCTTCACATCCTTCTCACCTTAAGAAGTTTGGTCCTCCAAACTTTACCAAAGTACTACAGTAACGTGTTATAAAAAAAAAAGCATTACCTTCTTCAAAAAGATGCTGGTAGAGAGTTCGGATGTCCTCCTATTTTTCTCAAGTAACCTCTCTGTTAGCATTATTGTCCTATCAGACCTTCACTAGAGACATGACTTTGTTTCGCAATTGTTTCACCCTTCTGTCCATGATACATATGGGCTTCACAATGTAAGTCAGATTCGGTTGCACTTCAGCTGACTCAGGCACTCGAACATGTGATGAGTCTAGCACATAAGGTTTTAGCATCGAGATATGAAAGACGTCATGAACTCCGGCGAGCTCCGGTGTTAATGCGAGTTGATATGCTACAGGTCCGACATGCTCAATGATTTTGAAAGGTCCCACGAACCTTGGATTCAATTTTCCTCACTTCCCAAATCGAACGACCCCTTTCAGAGGTGAAATCTTCACAAATGCTGAGTCTCTTATATTGATATCAAGATTCCTCCTTCTGCTATCCGCATAACTTTTCTATCTATCTTGAGCTATCTTCAGGCGGTCCTGGATGAGCTTGATCTTCTCTGTTGTTTCCTTAATGATGTTTGGTTTGATTTCTTCTTCCATGATCTGTTTCTCCCCGACCTCAGTCCAACATACTGGCAATCTACATTTCCTTCCATATAAAGCTTCATAAGGTGCTATCCCGATACTCATCTGGTAACTATTATTGTACGCGAACTCTACTAAAGGTATGTACTCTTCCCAACTGCCTTGAAAATCCATCACGTGGGCTCTAAGCAAGTCCTCTAGCGTCTGAATGGTCCGTTCAGATTGTCCATCGGTTTGCGAAAAAGGTTGTACTGAGGTTCAGCTTTGTTCCATGGTTCGTTGAAAGCTGCTCTAGAAATCTGACACAAATCTCGGGTCTCGGTCGGACACAATAGATACAGATACTCCATGTAGTCTAACTATCTCTACGAGGTAGATGTAGGCATAACGATCGACTGAGAACGTTTTTTGACCGGCAAAAAATGAGTTGACTTTGTCAATCGATCGATAATCACCCATATCATGTTATTTCCATTCGGTGTGCGTGGTAGTCCCGATACAAAGTCCATTATGATGTGCTCCCACTTCCATTCGGCTACAGGTAGAGGTTGAAGTAGTCCTACTGGCTTTTGGTGTTCTGCTTTTATTTGCTGACACTAGAAACAACTCCTTATATATTTTGCTATCTCTCTCTTCTTTCTCCTCCACCAATATACGGTCTTCAAGTCTTGATACATCTTGGTGATCCCTAGATGAATTGCAAGTCTGGACTTGTGGCCGTCGTCCAAAATCTGGCGTTTGACCTCTTCTATGGCCGAGACACAGACTCTACCTCGAAATTTCAGAATTCCATTGGTAACTGTGAAATCTGGATGTGGTTCTGTTTCTAGTCCATCTCGAACTTTTTTCAATTCTGGATCCTCCTTCTGTCTTTGTTTGATCATTTCAGTTATGGCAGGTTGAGCAACTATGGCATTGCACGTGGTAATCGATCCTGGGATTATCACTTCCAATTTTATTTGATCCATCTCTTCTAAAAGTGTTGGTTGCGTAGTGAGTAGGCAATTTATCCTCCCTGTCAATTTCCTGCTCAGAGCGTTTGCTACCACATTAGTTTTACCTAGGTGGTATTGAATGTTGACATCGTAATCTTTGATTAGTTCTAACCACTGGCGTTGCCTTAAGTTAAGGTCCTTTCTGGGTAAAGATGTACTTCAGGCTTTTATGATCAGTGTAGATTTTGCACGATACTCCATACAAGTAATGTCTCCAGATTTTCAAGGCAAAAATTACCGCAGTGAGCTCTAGGTTGTGAGTTGGATAGTTTCTTTCGTGTGTCTTCAGTTGTCGTGAGGCGTAGGCGATGACTTTCCCACGTTACATTAAAACACATCCCAAGCCTTGTCGTGACGCATCGCTGTAGATTGCACATCCATCGATGCCGTCAAGAAGGGTAAGGATCGGTGCCAAAACTAATCTCTTCTTTAAGTCCTGGAAACTCTGCTCTCGTTTTTCGGTCTAAACAAATGGTGTGCCTTTTCGTGTTAGCTCAGTCAATGGCACGACAATCCTTGAAAAATCTTGCACGAATTTGCGGTAGTAGCCAGCTAGTCCCAGAAAACTTCTAACTTCAGTCACGATGGTGGGTCGAGGCCAATTGACAATTGCTTCGATCTTTTGTGGGTCCACTGAAACTCCATCCTTACTGATGACGTGTCCTAAGAATTTGACACTATTTAACCAGAATTCACATTTCTTGAACTTGGCGTAGAGTTTTCGCTCCTTTAGCATTTGTAGAACCTTTCGCAAGTGTTCTCCATGTTACTTTTCATCCTCGGAGTAAATCAATATATCGTCGATGAAAACGATGACAAATTCGTCCAAGAATAGCTTGAATACACGATTCATCAAGTCCATAAACGCAGCAGGTGCATTGGTCACGCTAAAAGGCATCACAAGAAACTCGTAGTGACCGTAACGAGTACAAAAAGTTGTCTTCCCTATGTCCTCGGTTTTCACCTTCAGTTGATGGTACCCCAACTGTAAATCAATCTTCGAAAATACACATGCGCCTTGCAGCTAATCAAATAACTCATCAATTCGAGGTAGTGGGTACTTATTCTTTGTTGTAACCTTATTTATTTCCCGATAATCAATACATAACCTCATTGTTCCATCTTTTTTCTTAACGAAAATGACAGGTGCTCCCCATGGGGACGAGCTCGATCAAATAAAACCCTTGTCAAGTAACTCTTATAATTGAACTTCCAGTTCTTTCAATTCGGCTGGGGCCATCTGATACGAAGCTTTGGAGATTGGTTGCGTACCAGGTGCAACTTCAATAGAAAACTCAATCTCCCGATCTATTGGCATTCCAGGTAGATCCTCTGGAAAGACTTTCGAAAATTCTCGAACCACAGGAATAACAGATATCTTCGTATCTTCTACTGGTAACGACGAGATGCTGCACAAAAACCCATGACAACCCTTCCTCAGAAGTCGTCGGGCTTGAGCTGCAGATACTAAATACGAAGGTAGAACTATACCAACTCCCATGAAACGAAAGTCCAGGTGACCGGGGATTCGAAACTCAACACACTTATGTGCACAGTCGATAGTGGCGTTGTTGGCAAACAGCCAAACCATGCCAAAGATAACGTCGAAGTGGCCCATCGCAATGGGAATCAAGTCGACTGTCAAATGATTATTATCAAAACACACATCACAATTTTCTATATACAGTTGAACAACAAATACTGCCACTCATGGGCTGAGAAACAATCAAATCATAACCAAGGGGTTCGGGTTTCTTAGGTAGTCTCATGGCAAAATTTAATGCAATGAATGAATGTGTTGATCCGAAATCTATAAGAGCATAAGCCGATAATGAACAGATAAACAAGTTACCTGCAACTACCATTTCTGTGTTCTGCACGTCTCCTGATATTAAGGCAAAAGCTCTGCCTTGTCGTTGATTTTTCACTAAGTTAGGTTCTGCCTCAGTTGCCTGCACCATGTTTCTCCCTAGTGGTACCGTATTCGCTCCAATTCGCACCAATTTAGGACAATCCTTTTCATGTGTCCCCCCTCGCCACAGTTAAAGCAAGTTCCAGCAGCTTTGCGACATTCTCCTGAGTGGAAGCTACCGCAAGTGTTACACCTAGGCACTTTATTGCCCCGATTGTTATTCTGCCTCCCAACATTGGATGGTCCCGCATTCTGTTTTTTGGGTGAAAAATCACTTGACTTCTTCCCATCAAAGTTGTCAAAACGACGCTTCTTCTTCTCAGTGAACTTCTTCCTACTGTTGACATTCCTCTCCACAATCATGGCACGATCAACTATGTCAGTGTATGTAACTAATCGTATTGGCAGTATGACATCACGGATGTCGGGGTGGAGTCCCTCTTTGAACCTTCGAGCTTTTAGATTTTCTGTGCTAATCAGGTGTTTCCCATACTGTGATAGCCTGGTGAATTCTACTTCGTATTCAGTCACCGACATCTGTCCCCATTGCTTCAGTCGATAAAACTCCGCATACTTTGCATCCTGGACGGATTGAGGTATGTATTTCTCTCGAAAGACGACCAGAAATCGGTCCCAAATTATTGTCGGCTCGGGCTCTTCCTTCATCTCCCACCATTGCTGAGCTTCTTCTTGCAGTAAATACGTGGCTAGTCCGACCTTCTAGGTTTCTGTACAATGCATAACTTTAAATATCTTTCTCAGCTATGCGACCCAAGCATCGGCCCTTTCAGCGTCTATTCCTCCTGGGAAGGTCGGAGGTTTCAGCTTCAAGAATTCCTTCAAGTTGAGATCTTCCCATTGAGGTTGTGCCACATTCCCCAACTGTGGGCCCTGGGCATTGTTAGTCGGTTGTTGTTGTACTTGAGGTAGTGGTGGAATTACTTGAGGTGGGTTCTGTGGAGGTGGTGGTTGTTACCTTTTAGCTTGGTCTGTCGTGACGGATTACTTCATCATTCTTTCTAATTGATCGAGACGGCTTGAGTCGCCAGCTCCAGGAGCTCTCGCAAGGCTCCCTCGAGTGTTCATCCTAAAATTCAACGTGTTAATACAAAGGTGGGCTTTCGACGAGTCATAACTTGTATTGTATCATAGAGATAAGGAAGCTGGAAATGAGAAACGTATAACAAAGGAGAGTCATCATAACTACGCATCCATTTATATATATGTACATATATCCATGAGTTGATGTACACATGGTCAGCTTTACATGGTGGTTACAAAATATGGTATTATGTTAGAATGACGCAATTACCAAAAACACTTAAGTGCCGCAAAGCCCAAAACTAGTTTGCCAACGTCCCAAAAGGCATCAAAACTAATCTAGACTGAACATGCTAGCATCAAGGCCCCTATTACATACAAAATATAAGTATAGTTACCCAGTCTATATTCCCCCCCACCAGGACTAACTAATCGTCAGATTGATCTGACTCGTCGCAAGACTCAACGTCATAAACCTTAGGTTCGTTGGGGTTAAACTCAGGTTCTTCTTCAGGGTCTTCTTCTATGTCATCATCCATTCCATCTTCGGCAGGATCCTCGGGTTCATGAACTATGGGGACCACAAGTGCTACTTCTGGTACTATTTGATCTCCTCCGTCTCCATTAGCTTCCACATGTTCAACTTCTTCTCTGAAGAACACTGGGTCATTACTAAACGTGAGCACTTCTTGCCAAATTTGCATGTGGATACGAACACGGTGAATAACTACCGCCCTCTTCATCTCTGGAGTGAAAAGAACTTTCTCTTAGCTAACGAAAGCGATTTGGTTATAAAAGCGTCGACGTGCTTCACGGAGGACTTCCTGATTGTGACGAGCTAGGTCTCGCAGTTCGACCCTCCAATGGCCCTGCTGAGCGTCGCTCAATCGATACCCTCCAAACTCGTCATAGCGAATGATAGGCACTATGTCCTGCAATACACACAAGACGTAAATCTTGTAAGTACCGGACCCAAGGAAAATATATGGGTAAGGAGGAAAACTACAGTAACTTAATGCTGTAGTAAGGTTTCTTAAAGTATCTACCCCAAACAGGTCACCGAAAGAGACACTTAAACATGTAGCATGCATTGAGTGTCGTAGTGCAAGTGTCTTAGTGCTCTGTGGATTTAAGGTTCTCTAAACCTACAGCTCTAATACCAAGTTGTCACGACCCAAAATAGGGGCTAATCGAAATCGCGACCGGCCAACGCCTTATCTTGCACCCTAGGCCTACTACTAACTAGTTTAGAGAACAAATAAATAAATCATCGCAAATACTAGGTGATTGCATTTATCTAGAGCGTTGCTATATAAGTTATACAAGTCATAAAGAAAGGTTAAGTTACAACAATAACTTGGCCCTATGCCAACAAAAGAGGCAGTACATGACTTATATAAAACTATAGGTCTAGAATCCATCCCAGGCCATGAGACACCATAAAAAAATAGGCCTTTGGTTATCCACTAAGCATTCTCCTAACCTGAAATGGGTTAGTAACACACCCGTGAGCTATAAAGCTTGTGAGAACATTTTTACGTAATTTACAAGTTTGCCACGGTTCAACCATAAATATTTCAAGTCTCAAGCATAACTGTTCATATTCAAAAGCCCAATGACTGAAAAGACAAAATAAATGCTCTTATATATATATATATCAAAATATACATACATATATCCATTTAACTGGATATATTGCCAAAGAAATAGGGAGCTACCCATACTAATATCAAGTGGTCATGATCATGCCAAGGGATGATGGTCGCGTCCCAACAACCACCCTTATAACGCCTCACCCGTTGGTATATTTAATTTTCCCCAACGTCCGGGATGTTCCGTTCAAATGTACGTTATTACATTTGCAAGAGTTTTATAATAATGTTTTAACCATGGCTTCATAAAAAAAATATGTATATAAGCAATACGTGTGAGTCGGCTTATCCCGTTAACTTATGTTTTCTAAAACATAACATGATTTTGAAAATGTATTCAAGGTACTTTTCCAATCATAGGCATACTTGCTAAAGTTCAAAATCATATGTTTATTCGGTTATTCATAAATCAATGCAATCTCATGCTCCAAAATAATTCATCGATCAAAGCATGTCATTATATTTAAATACATGTAAAAAGCGTAAGCATGAACTCACCTAAATGTACACGAAGTTTGGTAAAATCAACCAGAACCGAGATCTAAACACAACGTATGAAAAACTACATTATTGTAGGTCTAGGAATTAATTCTAAGCATGAAATAAATATTCAAATCATAATCCCAAAGTGTACAATTTAAAAGGGGTCCTTCTCTTATGGTCCAGAAATTCTTAGTTTGCAGCACTTTAGATCATAAGCTAAAATCCTAATCAAAACACTTTAAAATATTCTGAAATTTTACAGGGTTATCAATCACGATGTTATGAAACTTTTTCATGAGGACTCGTCTTCCAAAAATGCTCATAAACAGGGTAAAATGGCAGTAAAACAAAGTTGGTCCAGATCCGTTGCAGTTTCTAAAAAATCATTTCCACAACAATCTAGCCGTTGGCTCGAGTTGAAACAAATTGAGTTGGAAAGATAACACTCTAATTTAACTCTGGTCCAAAAATCAACCATTAAAGTGGCCTAAATAATGTTTGACGAATTTTCAAAGTAGGCTGCCTGTTCAAGAAAAAAAAACTGTTTGTTAGGTAAAATCATTGTTTTGAGCTTTAGACTCATGGTTCATTGCAACATGATATCAATGGGAGGAAATAAAGTCTAAATCTGTATTTTAGGATTTAGATTCATGGTTCATTGTAACATGAAATCAAAGGAAAGAAATGAAGGCTTTATGTAATAACCCTCACCACTGCTTACCGATAAACATTGATTATCGTTAAACTGAACTGATTATGACTGATAATTGAACTGATTAAAGTACTGAACTGACTGACTGAAAACTGGAACTGAATTGACTGAGTATGTATGTTAATTTGTATTCTATCTGTTTGATTGTTTATTTGATCTGTTCGTATTTTAGTGTTTAAACTGCTAATTGAAGGCCTTATCGACGGCCGAATCCGGAATTGATTGATGTTTTATGATCATCATAATTTGTGTGATTTTATGGTATAATTATCTGAAAACTGATTAGGTATGATTAAATTAGATTAAATATTGACCAATTGCAGAGTTTGACTCATTTACAGGGTTGCTATATGAGTCAAAATCAGGCTTCTAGATAATTGGTCAATATTTGCCTCATAATGAATATTTTCTGTATATATACCTATAAAGTTTTTGTATCAAAATCAGGCTTCAATTTTTACTGATTTCGACTAATCTTTATTACATTGGTGTTTCTGCTTCTCATTTTACTATAAATTTCTTTTTAAGCTTTTTAATTAATAAATCATGAATTTTGTTAACATGCGCTTAGGGAACATGTTAAGAAGCTTAATTTTTATGTTTTACATAAGAGTGCATGCAATAAAAATCTGCAATTTTTTTTTTTTAATATAAAGCTTACCATTAATAACTCACGAATTTTGTTTGTTCTAAACACAAGCATTAATAATTCAACTGCACCGTTAGTGTAAAATCAGAGTCTTTTGGTGTCTTAAGATTCGAACTAGGTCAAATATGATGACTAAAGTCGACTGTCTGTTTTGTATGAACAGTTTTGTGTATAGTTCAAAATGTCCAAGCCAGCAGTAGATGTTCCTCTAAAGGGTGGATTTAGCTTCGATCTGTGTAGAAGGAATGAAATGCTCTCGAAGAAAGGTGTTCAGGCTCTGAAGTTTCTCAAAACTGGTACTACCATTGTTGGTTTAATTTTCGAGGCATGTGTATCTGTACCGCTCGCAGACTTAAATGTTCTTGTTTATTTGACTTCATTTTGAATTTCACTGCAGTGGCATATAGCCTGACAGCTTATGGTGGTTGCTTTGCTTATTAATCAATTTCAAGCTTGTTGCCATTACTTGATTGGTTGTTTAGTTGCTTGTATAGTAGTTAAATAATGATTCCATTGACCGCGTGATCAATGAAATTATCATTAGTTGTGTGACGTGATCTGAATGTCTGTCTGAGGAACAGGGTTGGAAAACGGGGTCTTATGAAATATATGTACTAATAAGGTCCGTGGGTAGACAGTTGGAAAGATGAAATGTAACTACAAAATTGCCCACCTTTATAATCTATACATGAATGTATAGTCAACTTTGACATAATATCAAAGGATTGCTGTTCCTGCAGCTGAAAGGTGCAAAACTAAAGAGTACCTTTATGAAAGATAATTTTTCTATTGCATCAAGAAAGTTCTTTTCTAATTCAGTTCTAAATTAGGGGAGGAAATTACAGGATCACATGGCTGAAATGGTGATCAAAACTTGCATAGTTTGATATCCAAATCTGGGAACTCAAATGACTCCTGTAGCTATAGATTATAGTTTTTTCATATATCCTATTGAAAATGAATAATTGAAGGAACTCAATATGTGACATCCTATCTGGAAGGATGTGTGGATAGTGGTAAAGCCCTCTTGTCCCCTTGTGATCGTTCCATGTGAAGCCTTCTTGCCTATTTCTTCTTACAATGCAGAGATGAATGGTGAAACTCTTGGGTGGCTTCAGATCACAGTGAT